TTAAACCATACTCTACTCCCGCAAGCAAACGAAATGACATATCTAGGAGTAATCCTCGACAGAAGACTCACATGGCGCCGGCACATTGAAGCCAAAAGAACACACCTAAAGCTAAAGCCAGTAGCCTTCATTGGCTTATCAACGCTCGGTCTCCCCTTAGTCTTGAATATAAAGTCCTGCTGTATAACTCGGTACTAAAACCTATATGGATGTACGGCTCTCAGTTATGGGGGAATGCCAGCAATAGCAATATTGACATAGTCCAGCGAGCTCAGTCGAAGATCTTGAGAACAATCACCGGGGCACCGTGGTACGTTCGCAACGAAACCATACATCGCGACTTAAACATTCTACCAGTCAAAGAAGTGATCGCAGAACAGAAGGAAAAGTACTTTACCAAGCTATCGTTGCACCCTAACCACCTGGCGAGAGGTCTTACAAGGTTGATCAACCAATCACGCCTTCGTCGCAATGACTTACCCACCCAGCGACCGACTTGAGGCACGCGCAACCAGAATGCAGTCTTATTATACTGTTAGTTAAATTTTAATGTTAAGATTCGTAAACTTATTGTTAGTCTCAAAATTAAGAGAAGATTCAATAAATAAAAGCAAAGTTAAACTAAAAAAAAAAAAAGTCCAAGTCAAGCCTTATTCTTTTTCCCAGTTTAAGCGAAGTCTATTTCCCGGGATCAGACGAAGTTCCAGACTAAGCGCTAAGAACCTGTGTAGACCACCAAACATATTCCTGTTATTCTTTATCATCTAATACATATAAACAATTGAGTTATATAAAATTCGTCTGAAATTTCCCACCTTTTTGAAAATTGTATTATTCCTCACTTGCATCAGCTATTTAGACCACTAAAATATCAATATCTGCATTGGCTTATTAGGCAAAAACTACGACGACAAACCTCTTGGAATGAATGTAAAAAGCTTACTTGTCCCCTTTTATTTTAACTTATTAATTTACAAATTCCATCTAGTTTTGCCTGCCAATCCGGTCTAAACACTTTTCAAACAAGTTGTGTTTTTATTTTTTTAATTTAAATTGCGCTAAATGAGAAGAAATGGCTTTTTCCCGAACTGGTTAGACTAAATTAAGCCATGAAAGTACTTGGATTTATCAAAAGGTGGTTGAAGAAATTTGGAAGGTACAAGAACTGCTTGGTTTTTACTGATCATGGTCTGTCAAGGTCCGAAATAACTTATAAGAAAAACCGTTTTGTACGCCCATGGGTTCTCAGTGGAACCACATAGCTTAGGAGTGTCCTCTTCGATGGTAATAACAATTTTTCATGGGTTATGAGAGGGGTTGCTGCCCCATGACTTTCCTATGAAGAACAAGAAAGGAAAGCTAACTTGGGGCGGAGCCGAAGTTGATATACCCTTGCAGAATACTCTGTAAATTATATTCATATGATGCATTCTTAATACTCATAAAAAATCCCAACTTCCTAACTTTAAAAACACCAAAGTTATAGCATTTCCAATCGTTCAGTTATATGGCAGCTATAAGATATAGTCGGCCGATCCTTATGAACTTTGGTAGGTCGGATTGATTGGCCAGAAATAAAACCCATAGAAAATCCCAACTTCCTAACTTAACAAACACCAAAGTTATGGCATTTCCGATCAATCAGTTATATGGCAGCTATAGGATATAGTCGGCCGATCCTTATGAAATTTGGTAGGTCGGATTGATTGGCCAAATATAAAATCCATAGAAAATTCCAACTTCCTAACTTTACAAACACCAAAGTTATGGCATTTCCGATCAATCAGTTATATGGCAGCTATAGGATATAGTAGGCCGATCCCGGCCGTTCCGACATATATACTGCGTGCAAAGGAAAGAAGGCTGTGTGCAAAGTTTCAACTCGATAGCTTTAAAACTGAGAGACTAGTTTGCGTAGAAACAGACAGACGGACAGACAGACGGACAGACGGACAGACGGACAGACGGACGGACGGACAGACGGACAGACGGACAGACGGACAGACGGACATGGCTATATTAACTCAGGAGGTGATCCTGATCAAGAATATATATACTTTATAGGGTCGGAGATGTCTCCTTCACTGCGTTGCACACTTTTGACCAAAATTATAATACCCTCTGCAAGGGTATAAAAAGGTTGAGGCAAAGACCAATATAATATATGTATATAATATAATATATATATATATAAGATTATATTGGTCTTTGGTTGAAGAGTATGTAAAATTTTTTATTTTTTCCACAATTGGCAGAAAAGTCGTATTAAGATATACCCAGCTTCTGTCGCAAATATTAACCAATGCTTAACAAATATTATAGATAAAGATTTCTTTATGTCAAATTTTGTTGCACGGGTCTATTCAGCAATTATCAAATTTATGACATTTGCTTCCTTCAAAATTTTGTGTAAAACTCGGATCTGTTTTGACCCAGCTCCAAATACTTGCATGCCTTTGAATTTACTTGGAAAAGTTGATTTTGTCACAACCCACATAATCCCATACCCAATAAAAGCCGTTAAGAATAACATTCAGTCTAAGTATTTTAATGTTATTTATAAAATTGCAAAAATATAGCTACATATTTTGAAGACCTGGTCAATCTTAACCAATCCTACGCCAGGCATTTGAAAAGCATTAAATACGCGATGTGCAATCATCTTTAATACATTTTACATAAAATATTTGTTTGTCGTCCGTTGGAAATTACTGAGATCTCAATTTTGAAAGGCCATGTGGGTTATTCTAAAATTAACTTTCAACTAATTGGGTTGCCTTTACCGAAATTTATTCAATCTTTCTAAAATATGAAATATCTGAGACTAATTTCGCCCTTTTTTGTTTTAAAAGTGGAGGAAAGGCGTGGAAACTAGAGATGCAGAAAACATCGGTTTGCCTGTTAAAACATCGGAAAGGCGATGTTTTCTGCATCTCTAGTGGAAACCTTTTTTTTTTTAGAAAAAAATATATTTGCTGGCACTGTTCTAATAGCCTCACACTATGATGTTGCGACCACGAAACTTTTACGGTTAACGGTTATGCACAAAATTTAATCATTTTTGAGGCAATATGAAATGATGCTTACTTTCCTTATATTAAATTTGTATAATCATCATCACTTCCTTATTTTTTTAAAGAATTACTTCCACACTCTCTGAAATATATTTGAATTGTTCTCATGATACGCCTCCACCTACTTCACAGTTTAAACGCAGTTTTACAAATAATTCTTGCAATTGGTTTTAAATTATATAGACAAAAATTGAAAGTTTGATTTCCCTTTAAAAAACGGGAGTTCTAATTTTTTCCACAAAAAAAAACAGATTCTTTTAATATCCTCAAAAAGGGTATTGTAATTTCGGGCAGAAGATTGTTTCCCAGTGAAGAATACATTTCCTATCCATTTCCTTAGTGATATATTCTTAATCAGGATCATTAGTCTAGTTGATATACATAGCTATGTCCGTCTATTCCTATGTTTCTATACCGTCTGCAAGCTCAGTTTTAAAGATTGTGATTTGAAACGTTCGTCTTTTCATATTTGTAACCATACAAAAATTCTCGCTTTATTTTTATACCCTTGCAGAGAATATTATAATTTCAGTCAAAAGTTTGCAACGCAGTGAAGGACACATTTTCGACCCTATAAAGTATATATATTCTTGATTAGCATCACCAGGAGAGTCGATCTAGCATTGTCCGTCTGTCCGTCCGTGCGTCTGTCCGTCCGCCCGTTTCTACCCAAGCCTGTCCCTCAGCTGTAAAGCTATCTGTTTGAAACTTTCTTTAGGTAGTATATAAGTCGGAACGAGCCGGATCGGGCTACTATATAATATAGCTCCCATAGGAACAATCGAAAAAAAATTTAAAAAAATGGATTTTTTTTTTCTTTGGTATTTGGTAATATTTAAATACCATGGAATTAAGGATTTAATAAAATTAAAAAAGGACATCTAAATTTTAGTTTTTAGTAATATAGGCATAGAAATAAACTTCAAGGGTATATGCAAGTACATAAACTTTGGATAGCCAAAGTTTGCTTCCTTTCTTGTTTTAATCCAATGTTGCAATCTTATAGAATCTGGATAGTACCTCGAGTTTTGTCAAAATCGAATGATGACATACTAGAGCCGTCATATATCTTCTAATTTTTAAAAATATCGTATCGATGATTTTTTTTTATAAAAAAAAAAATGATAATATTTAAAATATCACATAAAAATGTCGATATATTTGATATTTTTTGTGTTAAATGAAAAAATTAACCGCCCACAATAAAAAGACAATAAGTTTCTTTTTATAAACAATAGTATTTTGTTATATATATTTTATGCTCAGTATGCAGGGCTTAGGGATTTTAATAATACCCTTTGCGTTATGTGTGCGTCAGTCCTCCTGCTTCTTGAGTCGCACACAACACATTTGATGGCGGACGCCGTTTTTTATATCCGTATAGTTTGATTGTACACTCAATTTTTTATTTCGCGCCTGAATTCTTTCACTCGATGTCGCTTTGGAATTTAGAGTGACCAATAACTAAAATATCAAAAAATTTTTAAAAAATGTCGGAATTCCGATATTTGGGGAAATAAAAAATCAAGATATAAATATATCATTTTTAGGAAAAAATATCGATATATTGATATTTTGATATATTATCAACAACCCTAATATCTTCCAAACTGGCTAAAAAAAGTTTATTTATGCCGATATCTTATATCTGACATGAGAACGATCGGCTATATCCAATAGATGCGTAGGGCGCACGGTTATGTATGCAAAGGTATTACCATAATTAAAAAAATGTTTATCTAAAACCATTAAATGTTACTTATTTTTTCAGTTTTTAATTTATAACCCAAAAAGGGTTACATTGAAATGCCACACATGAATAGTGAATGTCTCTCTGTGGGAAAAGGGTATATGCAAAATAATTGTCAAATCTTTAGCAATGTTCCATTTGTACCGTTCCAGTTTTGTTGGTGACTCATTGTACATTTAAATACACTCGTGTTCTATACTTTCTGAGTCAAATGGCGTAAAGACTAGTTTGACACTGAATTTTAATTTAATCAAGACTAGTTCCATTATATTATTACATCAATAAAATGGATACAAGCGTTTTGGAGTGGAAAAAGGTTGATCTATTCAATATAATCGCATTACCATATGTAAAATGTCCGACGACGTCAGAAATATCGTGCTACTGTTGTAACGATTCCAAATCAAACACTGAGGACTTAAAAATAAGGATAGTCATATGTGATCAAAACAAAAATATTCATGTATACCCTTCGAGTTGGGATTGTATTTCATTTAAATCTCAAGCAACGCGGAACATTATAAGACTTTGTTCTCTTACTTCAAATAATTGGCTTGCGACTGCCACACAGGATATTAATTTTGGAATTTATATTGACATATACGATTTAAGAAGATTAACAAAAAAGCAAGGAGCTCCGATAATTGGATCCGCATTTTTTCAAGTCGCGAGTACTGCTTCATGCATTGATGCAGAAGTCATCGATGAAAAATTTCTTGCAGTAGCCATAGGATTAGAATGTGGTGATATTCTGTTACATTATGGAAAAATTAATCGACTTTTTTCTCAAAATATTCGCCAACACACTGTATCTGGATACCCAATTAATGGTGTTCATTTCGACATTAAAGCTCAGCAATCGGATATGCAAACTAAAATCATGTTTGTAACATGTTTTCAAGGAGTTTATTGTTTTGAGTTAAAAGATAAAAGCTGTATGGATAAACGATTTATGCTTGATAATGATAACGATACAACATATAATAATCATTGCTGCACGATGCGTAAGACTGATAACGGAGATTTGGAAGAGTCGATGTTGGTAGTGGGACGAGAAGATGCTGTTTATTGTTACACCCATGATGGAAGGGGTCCCTGTTTTGCTATTAAAGGCACAAAAAAATGTCTTGCTTGGGTAGGTCATTATCTGGTCGTCGCCATTAGTCCCAAAAAATCTATTTTAAGCACTTCGACTATAATTGTTGTAGATACCGACAACAAAATTATAGTTTTTCAAAAGCAATTTCAAGATTTCTTTTGTACAATCAGTGAAGAGAATTTTTGTTATTTTATAAGTAATACTCCCCAAGAAAATACTTGCAACGTATTTATGTTGGAGCAGCATAATATAAGTAGTACAATACGCCTCCTAGTTGAAAAAAATATGTACGATATTGCATTGAGGTTTTTACATCGAGAAGGCAGTATTTCTTCACCGGAAGCTGCTTTTGTACGGTTTCAGTATGGAAATCATTTACTTTTAAAAGGAGACATAAGTAGAGCAGTTAAAGAATTTATTAAAACAATTGGTTTTGTTAAGCCATATGCTGTAATATCAAAACTTGCATATTCCCGATATAATAGTTATCTAATAGACTACTTATCTGAATGGATAAAAATTGACAAGACTTCAAAGTATAATACAGCACTTATTGAATGCTGCATGAATCGTAAGCAAATAGAACAAAAAATGCAGCAGTTGACGGATGGAGTTGATTCTCTGAATTTTACAAGGCCTTTGGTATTGAAAGATCTTTCAGATTTATCAAAAATGTTTTTCGAATGTACACTTCGAAACCAGGACAAAGTTGAAGGAGATTCTCTACTACATCGATTTTTGGAATATGGATCAGAAACGCTACTAGTAGATCCCACTACATATTTGGAGCATATTAATTCGGAAAATGTTAAAAAATGTAAAAATATTCTATCTTTTATTTCCATTTTAACGGATCAAAACGATTATTGTGCCAAAATTTTAGCTAACATCATTGAAACGTTTCCAGCCTGTGATGAAAAGTTATATTATTATTTACTTGTTTTATATCTTGATTTATGGCGAGGAAACAAAGTTACTACATGTTTTGTTTTAGACTTTTTAAAAAAAGATTGTTTGCGTTTGGATAAGGTTTTAATTATTTGTAGACTTTACTCATTTTTCAATGGATTAAAAGAAATTCATAATTTCCAACAGAGTGCCGGTATACTTCACCACGAAACAATAAATAAATGTATTCATACCCTAATTAAAAATAATCCAGAAGTCGGCTTAAATTTGAGTATAAGTAAAAGATCATTTCTTATGATGTTAAAAAGCTTTTGCTCCAATAATGAAGTAAAAGTATTTAAGATTAAACCTGTTTTCAAGGAAGAAATTATGCGTCAATTAGTGGATTCATCAAATGAACTACAATTAATTGAACATTTTCAAGATAATATAAAAAGATCTAGTTGCATACTCTCCCTCTATACAAACAATCCAATAGAATTTCGTAATGATACATGTGATATTTGTCGTGAAACCTTGAATATGCAGTCCATTTATTTTCTTTGTCAACATTCGTTTCATAAAGAATGCCTAAATTACAGTTTGGTGAAACGTCAAGATCAAATTATGTGTGCTGTTTGTAAAGCAAATACACAAATTTTCAATGAAGAAAATAAAAACAATTTTAACTCGGATTCTTCAAATATTATTGCTGTGATTGCCAAAGTAGTAGCTTTAGGAATTATGAATCTAGGAAATAAAAGTATTATTGATAAATCAGTTCAAACCATAACACAAAGGAATGGTCAGAGCACCAAAGCAAATTTAAATTCCTTAGATTAAATAACAGTTTTGATTAAAATTCAAATTTTTTGAGATGTAGTTTTAAAATATTTTTAATACATTTCCATATATTTTTTGTTATAATAAAAACATTTATATATTATTTGCTAACATGTGTGTTTTACAATTTTTCGTCAGCTAATTGGAAATGAAAAAAAAACCTCAATCGTAAGTAATGTATAATGCCTTTTTGCCTTTATTGGCACCTTCACGTAAAATTTATTTACTACTGTATGAGAAATTTTAAAAGTTACAAACTAGAAATTTCCCTATAATTTATTAAAAATAGTTTTAAATCTACAGAAAAATAGCTATGTAATCCCCATATATTCGTTTACCCTTTACTAGCTTACTCACTTCTTTTTAGGTATTCCTTGCTCACTTGATTATTTATCTATACTACGTTTTTTAGTAAGCCAAGAATTAAGAAGAGAGCTAATAAATTCAAATAATAAAAAAGGTATAAATTTAAATGCCTGACAGATGAATTCTGAATAAATAATTGAAAAAATCTAGTCTTGTCTGAATTTCATAAAATAATTTTAAAATTTGTCTGAATTTCCTGACTTTGACTTTATTGATTGACTTATTTGACTTGTTTTAATCAGCCAAAAATCATTAAAAAACAAACGGCAAAGGGTGTGTCAAGGAAACCAATATGTTTTTGAAAATCAGATAGACCTAAAAAGTAAATCTAATGATTTAAAGATTATTTTTAATAGTTTTGACATAAATTATTAAGCTAAATTCCGAAATAATAACAGATGGCGTTTCTGAACAGCGAAAAAAAGCATTTCCTTTGGAGCATTAACCTATGAATAGACGCAGAGGTAAGAGATAAGCGTCCGTTGTGATTTTCTTACTGATTTAAAAAAATTTTAAAAATTTATCTAAGACGACATAAATTCCGATACAATTTCTTGAAAAATCTATAAGATTCGATGACTTTTCCTAACGGTGGTCTAAGCGTCTGATTAGGATCTTTGACACGTTACTGTCCTAAATGAATGTTGTGGCATGAAGCACAAATTCCAGCCTACAGTATTATCGTGGAAGCTTTTCTAAAGTTTTGTTTTTGGCGCGATTAAAGTAAATTTTTTTGGAACAAACCTTTTCCACCCATCACCCGCAAAATTTTACTCCGCTGTTGTAGTCAGTTCAGGCGAATCCCAGCTCTGACAAATCCTCGGTCCCACATTCCGGATGCCTTTCTTATGAAAAATCTTAAAACATTTGTAGGCTAAGAGGTATTATGGTGTAGAAATAAAACAAAGTTGTGTATTATTTTATATTTTTTAAGTTATACTAAAGGATATCTCCCAAAGTGAATTTTTTAATATTAAAATAATTTTCAGAGATGCAATTATTTTAGTGACGCGGCATCCTCCTTGGACGAAAGTACAAGCTCATTTTTCTCGAAACTGTCTTTTTCTCAAGTTTTACTGGACCGATTTACTTGAAATTTTTCGAGAGTCTTCTTTAAAGCCCTATACTATAAAAGATTAAGCAGTGTTTCAGACTTTGAGTCTGTGTCAGCAATGAGTCTGCCACTAGCTGGCCGTCCAGGTATCCAATTGTCAGAAGACACCCTTTCAGTCTTCTTCTGTTATAGTGTCAGGGCAAGTTTGTTTAAATGTTATATAAGTCTTGTTCTGTAATGTGTAGCAGATTAGTGATATATTTACAGACAGGATTAATTTTGAGATATCGAAATATATGTTGTCTAGGCATGACTCAATTTTTTTTATGGATTCCCCAAGAAAAGGTAGGCATCAAAATAACCTTAAAAGACCGCAAAAGTCCACTGTCCGGACGAAGGAGCTATCTCAGCTTTTTGCGGAGTGGAGGCACAAGCAGTGGTCTAAGCGTCTGATTAGGATCTTTGACACGTTACTGTCCTAAATGAATGTTGTGGCATGAAGCACAAATTCCAGCCTACAGTATTATCGTGGAAGCTTTTCTAAAGTTTTGTTTTTGGCGCGATTAAAGTAAATTTTTTTGGAACAAACCTTTTCCACCCATCACCCGCAAAATTTTACTCCGCTGTTGTAGTCAGTTCAGGCGAATCCCAGCTCTGACAAATCCTCGGTCCCACATTCTGGATGCCTTTCTTATGAAAAATCTTAAAACATTTGTAGGCTAAGAGGTATTATGGTGTAGAAATAAAACAAAGTTGTGTATTATTTTATTATTTTTAATTTATACTAAAGGATATCTCCCAAAGTGAATTTTTTAATATTAAAATAATTTTCAGAGATGCAATTATTTTAGTGACGCGGCATCCTCCTTGGACGAAAGTACAAGCTCATTTTTCTCGAAACTGTCTTTTTCTCAAGTTTTACTGGACCGATTTACTTGAAATTTTTCGAGAGTCTTCATTAAAGCCCTATACTATAAAAGATTAAGCAGTGTTTCAGACTTTGAGTCTGTGTCAGCAATGAGTCTGCCACTAGCTGGCCGTCCAGGTATCCAATTGTCAGAAGACACCCTTTCAGTCTTCTTCTGTTATAGTGTCAGGGCAAGTTTGTTTAAATGTTATATAAGTCTTGTTCTGTAATGTGTAGCAGATTAGTGATATATTTACAGACAGGATTAATTTTGAGATATCGAAATATATGTTGTCTAGGCATGACTCAATTTTTTTTATGGATTCCCCAAGAAAGGGTAGGCATCAAAATAACCTTAAAAGACCGCAAAAGTCCACTGTCCGGACGAAGGAGCTATCTCAGCTTTTTGCGGAGTGGAGGCACAAGCAGTTACGCTTGCCTAATGTAAGCCCAATGTACCTAACCGTGGCAGAGTGCTTGATGGGGGCCGCGTCCAGTGTAAGGCGGCATGTGTTCAGCCTGTTCAGCGATAAAGTGGCAGCGATATTCAACCTCCTAGCCCACGCTTCAAACTCATTGTCCTGCACCATGTCCGTGGCATCCCTTCCAGTGTAATCTTCAGAAGTCGTTGTTAAAGTACGTCTGCTTGTGGGCGAAGAAAGGACTAACACATCATGTCGGATACAGAACATTGGTTGCGCTGTAGAATTTAAGCAACGAATATCCACTTGTAAGGTTTTGCCGCGCTTATAGAGCAAGCCGAATTGCCAGACACGTTTATCCACTAATACTTCATAAAAATATTGAAGATGGGCTTTAAAAACGATATTGCTGCCACTGGCAAGGCTTTGGCCACTTTTGCATCCACACTTGATTTCATTTTTAACTTTTTCAGGATCTATGCCTAGAATTTCAACAGCAAGATACTACAAATATTGATTGCTTTTAAAGTCACTTCAAAAATAAACGGAAATCTATGCTTCTAGACCAGAACACACTTTTAAGAGCCACCTGGCTAGCGTGGAGCTCAAATCTATTTGCGAAAATCGCAGCGAACAATTCTTTCTCGTTTACGGTTTTATTTAATTTGGCTATTGGCAATAGGAACGTCATTTTCTTCCTCATTTATTTCCATCATCTTGCGACACAATGAATTGCAAATGCTTTTTAAAAATCCGGGGAATGTAACACTGGGGCCTCACATACTTGCTGCTGCAGTAACTCAATACAAAGTAACTCATAACAAAGCCTCAGAAGTCCATTTGAATACCAGCATATCTTTATAATAGCAACCCGTGACCTCTTGGAAACGAATAACTTGCTTAAAGAATGATGTATAGTAAACTCTTATATAGCACTTTCATCGTCTGGGTTGGTCTTAATGTAGCCGTTTCCAATAACGTATTAACTTCCTTAAGGCAACATTTACTTTTGTCCACATAAATAGTCAGCCCTGTCTGTTTTAATCTACTGGCTACGGCTGTTAGCAACGTCAAATGAGTAAGACATGATCAACAGATTATCGAGATAGACGAAAATTTCGATTCGCAAAGGGGTAGAAATTACCCGATCCATAAGTTTTGACGTCTGCAAGGGAATGACCGTTGCCAAAGGGAATGACCGTTTATAAATATAACAGTCTGCAGGGAACTGTAATGGGGATCTACCAATAGGCATCCATCAAATAGTCCTTTGTCAAATGACAGGCCAATTAACTTCTGAGTCCAGCAAGAACAGAGGCCCGCCGAACCAGATGGACGTTGTAAGCTTTTCAACGTCACATCCACAGGACACTATGTCTGCAGGGCTAACTTTCGTGGGAACGTGTCTCCAAGTTGCGTTTTCCGATCATTCCTGAATCTCTGCGACCCGGTTTGACACAATAACCGACAACTACGAAGGATGGGTTTTGATCCAGTGTAATGTGATCTTGGAGTCTGTGCATAGGAAAACATTCTCAATGGGACAATTCAGCAAGGCCTGACACTATTATAAAGATCTGCTAAGAGGGGAGATACTTTCGATTTGGCGGTCAGTAAAGAAACTTTTAAGCCTTCAGCAGTTTTAGTACGAACATACTTTGATAATTTCTTTTCTAGCGACAAAAATCTAGGTTTCGAAACTTCTCATGATGAGACAAGAGAATTTGGTTCAGATTTGAACGGCACACGAACCGAAAATCTACCGGACGACAATCTTTGAGTATTTTTCTCAAAGTGTTGTTGATAAAGTTGCTGCTCAGGAGTATGGACTTTAGCCTTGGGCGGCAAGTCCTCCACAGACCAAAATTTTTCAGGCACCGCTTGATCCAGATGATAACCAGAAATATTTTTTAGGATCCAAAAATTGGACGACAACTGACTTCACAAATGTGTGTATTTTTTTGTAGCTTGGGCATTAGTCCCATCAATACCTCGTTAGCTTAAGCACTCGTCCTCTGAATTTTTAAAGTCTCTGATCGAGCTCATCGGTCACAAAGTTTATTTTGTGATCCTGAGTCGAGCAACGCTCGAGCCAAGACATAAGCGTGGGCTGAGAAGGGGGTGGCAACGAGAGATTAGTGTTTGCGGAATATATATGCAGCAACGTATGGTGTGAGGAATTGCACACTGCATTTGTTCGATTTGCTTTTGTGCCTTCGGGTTTTTTGCGCTCTCAATCTTATTCTCATTTTGCTCATCGTCGGCAGGGTATGCAGGCACCATCCGCTCGCAGAACAATAA